CTCAAAGTAGTTACCATTTCAAACTCAAATTAATTTTATAATTTACACTCTTTAATATTTTTATAGTAGAAGGTTAGTACCTCAGACAAAGGTGAATTTTTTACAATTAATTCAGTAACAATCTTTTTGTTAATAATTTTATAAAAAGGTAAATATTTTTATACTTTAAGATAAATTTTTATAATAATCGTTAGCTTTAACATTCATGATTATTTAATAATCTAATTTAAAGGTTCTAGGACAGATAGAAAATATTTGAATTAAAAAAAGCTCTAATAATAAGATTCGTTAGATTTACGATACGTTTAACTATACTTTCCATTGTACTATTATCTATGTATTTAATACTATTAAATATTTAATTAAAACATTAACCACAATATAAAAAACCTCTTAGTTTAAAGATAGAATTTCTAATAAGTTATTAGAAGGTATCAGTTTAAATCTGATAGAGATTAAATTACATAAAATTTAGAGGTAATATGTAAATATATTGTATAAATTAATATTTAATTCTCTTTTTAACTTATACTTATTTAATTATATGATTTTATTTATATTTAGTATTTTATTACTATTAAAAAAAAATAAATTAATTCTCCGAAAAAGTAATGACACAAAAATACGGTTTAAAATTAACCTTTCTACAGTAACTCTACAAAAGTTAGTTACTATACCTGCACACAAATTTAGTTTATAGTTTATAAATAGTATTATTTTTTTTATTTTTATTTTTATTTTTATTTTTATATAAAAAGTTTTAAAAGAGTATGTTGTTTAAATTATTTCATATGTTAGACGCTATCATTAATGACTTATTTATTATGTTATCAGCAGCAAAATACATTGGAGCAGGTTTAGCTTGCTCAGGTTTAATCGGAGCCGGAGCCGGTATTGGTTTAATCTTCTCAGCATTAATTGCATCAACAGCTAGAAACCCTCAAATAAGATCACAATTATTCAGTTTCGCTATCTTAGGGTTCGCCTTAGCAGAAGCTACTGGATTATTTGCTCTTATGGTTGCGTTCTTAGTTCTTTACTCTTAATTATTTATTTTTATTTATACATACAAGAGTTTAGATTTCTTTTTTTTGCTATAATTTTATAAAAGGTTTAAATAAATTTATTTTTATTTTGATCTTTAAGAATTATTAGTTAAACCAAAAGATTTAACCCCCACAAAAAAACATTTTTAAATTAATTAAATACTTATTATTTATTAATAACAAGGAATTAGAAATATTAGTTTATATACAGAGAATTATTTTTATAAATCTTATTACAGAAGTATTTTATTAAAAAAATATTTTTAATTATCGTATTTCTCATAATTATCTAACTATTATATAGTGTGGTAAGTACTTTAAATTGTTTTATTAAAAATAACTTTAATAATAAATTAAATTAATAAAAATAAACTTATTAAATAAAAATATTATAAAAAATAATTATTAATAAATCGATTTAGCTTTAATACTTAATAAGAATATAAAAAAATTAAATATATAAAAATATATACAAATATAAACTTTAAAAAGATATATAAATATAAATAACTATTAATAAAAAAAATGAAAAATAAAATAAAATTAATTTTTACATCCAGTTTATAAAAATGTAAAATCTTACTTTATGTTTATAAAATTATCCGATCACTGTGAATTACCTAGTACTTGAACTAACTACTTAGGAAATGGTAAACTGAAAGGTAAAGTATGATAAATTAACAAATAAAAATAATAATAAAATTATTCTACGTGCACAAGTATAAATTAAAGTAATATAAATTTTTTTTTATTAAGCCTTAGGACAAGGAATATAATCTAATGCAATATAAAAATATATACAATAAATATAATAAATATTTAAATAATAAAAAAAATCCTCCTATACAAATAAATATTTAATACATATAAATAATATAAGTTTAGAAATAATATAAAATTTTAATATAATTATAAATAAATAATATAATAATTATATAACCGGTACATTTATTTATAAATATAATATTAGACAATACAATACTATATTATAAATATTATTCAATGAAAATATAATACAATATAATACATATAAATAATAAATAATATAAGTTTAGAAATAATTAAATAATTTTTTTATACACTACCTTAATTTAATTAAATAATTCTTATTAAACACGCACATTAATTAAATAATTAATTTACACAGAACATGTTTTTTTTTATTTTTAATTATTTTTTTCAAGCAACTATTTAATTTTACTCTGATTTGTAATTAATAATATACCTTTTAAAAAATTCGAAATTTTTTTAATATCTAAATATCCAACCTTTAAATAAAAATATATAAAACTTTACATAGATAATTATAAACCTTGTACATTTATAATCTAAGTAAATTTTACATTTCATATAAAGGATATAAAGGGTAAAATCGGAGACTTGAACTCTGAACTACGTTGCCACAAAACGCTGTTTTGCCAATTAAACTAATTCTACCTCTTTTAAGTTATTTTCACTGTACCTTTTGTTTTTAAATAGAAATTAATTTATAAAATTAAAAATAACCTTTCTACTTTCAAATTATAATGTAGTGAGTACAATAGATTAACTAGATTTGGCCTGTAAATTTCAAAAAAAATAATTTAAAGCTATAGTTAATTAGAAATTATAAAGCCAAAAATAAAATATTCTAATTTTTAATTTTTATTTTATAGCTACCTTAAAAATAGGATATAAATTATTTATAAGTTTTTTAACTAATAACTTGGATTTTAAAATCTTTTTTTCTTTAAATAGAAAATTTAGAAATCAAAAATATATATTTGAAAGTGCTGGTTTAAATTTAAGAAAAATTAAACGTAAGCGTATTTTGTTTAAATATATCTTTGAATGAATTATAAATTAATTTTAATATTTTGTAATAAATAGTTTATATTATTCAGATACTAAATACTTAGAATAAAATGAAAATTAAATGATAGTATAATTAAATATAGGTTAAGTATTACCAGGATACTTACATATGAATTAATAGTTAAAAGAGAGTTAAGATATCTAAAACTGAAATATTTTCAATCTATTTTGATTTTTATAAATAAATAATATAATTTAATATATAATATAATTAATTTAATAAATTAAAAAAAA